ATCACTAGCTAGTTGAATATTAGTTAGAAGGACAATGATTGCCCGAGTGTGCACCCAAAAAAAAAAAAATTTAACTAAGTGATGGGTATTTTTTTTCATATGATGTGTACATACCAAAATGTTAGATATGAGTATACATACATCATTTTCAATATTAGGGTGTGCATATTATTTTCCTACGAAGGTCACATTTGAATGTAAAGTTTTGCCTCAGCCTGAGTATGCTATTTTAGTTTTTTTTTTTTAACATATTAAAATTATTTATATATTAATTGAGAAAATAAAAAAGTAATTCCATAAGGTTGGAATATGTTACTCCACAAAAGTTGAAATGTTTTAACCTATGGTTTATACCATTGGACCAGAATAGATTGTTCATGCTATTTTAGTATTTTAATTTTAAAGGGTGTCTAAAGACATATATATATATAAATGTATTAGATTATATTTGATTTGAGTTCTTGCTTAATACATAAAATTTTAATAGTAAATTTTTACTAGTTATTGAGATATTTTTTGGGAGATATATAAATTCATGTAATTTAGTATACATATTGAACATTTCATCTAGAATAATAATAAATGAAAGGAAATATATGAGATATAAATTTGAGATCAATAATATAATTTTTTTAATTTATTTTATTTTATTATTATACTTTTTGAAATGAGAGAATTATGGAGAATGAAATTTTTTTTTAAAATTATAGGTAAGAATTAAATTTTTGTTCAACTAAACTCAAATATTAATACTTAAAAATGAATCATTGGATTCTGATTTGAAAAGCTGGTTCAATATTTTTAAATTTATTTAATATTTATAATATTATATATATTAATTTATTTAAGAACATAATTTATACTACATAATTAATGCCAAATTTTTGGCCCTATGTCACCACACTTTGCTTTAATTTAAATATATATAGAATTGAGGATCGCCATTTTCCAACAGGTATGGATCTTCTGACATCCTACATGACCAAAGAAAAGGAATTGGGTATTGAAGTTGATGATCAATACTTGAGAGACACAATTTTGAGTTACATGCTTGCCGGTCGGGACACTACCAGTTCTGCTCTAACCTGGTTCTTTTGGCTTCTTTCAAAGAACCCACAAGTAGAAATAAAAATCCTAGAAGAGCTGAAATCCAAAGTTCCGATCAAAGAAGAATATTCCAGTGACAAACGAAGGGTTTTCGAGATTGAAGAGGTGAAGAACCTTGTATATCTACATGGGGCTTTAAGCGAGGCTTTGAGGTTGTACCCACCGGTTCCAATGGAGCACAAGGAACCTCTGCAACCGGATACACTTCCGTCCGGCCACCATGTCATCCCGACGACAAAGATCTTGTTTTCGTTTTACGCGATGGGGAGGATGGAGTCGATTTGGGGAGAGGATTGCTTGGAGTTCAGGCCAGAAAGATGGGTTTCGGAAAGGGGAGGGATAAAACACGAGCCATCGTTCAAGTTTGTGGCTTTCAATGCTGGACCTCGGACATGTCTCGGTAAGGAAATGGCTTGGTGTCAGATGAAGGCGGTGGCGGCAACTATTGTTTATAACTATCGTGTTGGTGTGGTGGAAGGACATCCGGTTGTGGCTAAGGGTTCTATTATACTTCATATGAAGCATGGGCTGAGGGTTAAGGTCACTAGTAGATTGCCTGTGATATAGAGTAAGTATGAAACAAAATGGACAGGGGGTGTTTGAAAAAGTTTAAAAAGTATTTAATATAAAAGTAATATTTTTTTATATATTTAAAATTTTGTTAGAAAAATATTTAAGAAATAATTTTTAAAATGAGTTTTTAATAAATTTTTAAAAAAAATTTATACATTTTAATATTTTTAAACTTATTAAAAATTTACTTAAAAAACTTATTTTCTTTTAATAAAACTTTAAATTTGTGAAAAAAAAAAGAATAGCATTTTTAAAATAAGTATTTTTTTTCACAAATTTAAAAATTTATTAAAGAAAATTTTAAAAATTAACTTATAAAATAGCTTTTAAGTAAATTTTAAGAAAATTACACACTAATTTTTTTCAAAATTTAAAAAATTACTTTAAAAATTAATTTTTTAATTTTTCAAATAAAATTTTAAATTTATAAAAGAAAATTTTATTTTAAAAAA